AAAAAAAAGTCTTAACAAAACTTGGCACTTGTTCAAAATCCTGTAAGTTACAGAAGTTGGTGCAGTCCAGATTGAACATTCCATTAGAATTCTACAGAAGGCCCATGGACAGACCCCTTTTAGAGGAAGCCCCATCTGTGGCCAAATCTTTGACCACTTTTAGCAAGAAGCAGCCGGATGATTTTGTTTCTATTCCCCTGCCATAGTGAGAACCATGAGAACCATGCCATATGAGAAAAGATCAGAAATATGCCCCTAAGAAAAGGAATTGTTGGTATGGAATGCCACAATGGTAGACCTACATGGTGCAAGATAAGCTGGATAACCCAGGCTCTGCCCAATAGCCTAGATGACCAATAATCTAGAAACTGGACACCAGAAGATAGTAACTTCAGCATCCTCATCTGTTTTAATGGTCCACATTCAACTCTGATTTCTGTTACAGACCACATACATCTTTCACTTTTTAATGGCCAACATTCTCGGAACACAATAAAGAAATGCTCCTATACCCCCTCATAATAATAAAGTAAAATTGTATTGATGTTCTATTCTAGAATAAATGAGCTGATTATATTTAGAGAAGGGTGCTGAAAATTCTGAGATCAAAGAAAGAAATCAGAAAAGTAACTCCATTTAAAAGTGTCAAGAAAATCAACTATTTAGGTTTCGGCTGGAGCGATAGCACAGCAGTAGGGCGTTTGCCTTGCACGCAGCCAACATGGCTGACCTGAGTTCGATTCCTCCACCCCTCTCGGAGAGCCCGGCAAGCTACCGAGAGTATCTCACCCACACGGCAGAGCCTGGCAAGCTCCCCGTGACGTATTCAATATGCCAGACACAGTAACAACAAAGTCTCCAATGGAGACGTTACTGGGCCCGCTCGAGCAAAATCGATGAACAACGGGAGGGCCTTTACTTTACATTTTTACTTTACTTAACAGAAATAAGAGGACACCAGAAAATGGAAAAAAATATCTTTCAGAATTAACATTGTCAAAATGACCATCCTACCTGGGAGTATTATACAAATTCAGTACAATTTCCATCAGAAATCTAATTATATTGTTCACAAACTTAGAATAAATAACTAAAATTTGTATGGAATATAAAACTCCCTATTCAATATGCCAAAGAGAGTAAGAACAAGTCTCAAAATGGAGATGTTACTGGGCCTGCTCAAGCAAATTAATGCACTACCAAAGGAATTCTGAGAAAACAGATCAGAGGCATTACATTTCTTGAGTTTAAGTTATTATGCTACAAAGCTACAGTAATCATAACTGTATGACCACTTGTAAACACTTGTCATCCCGTTGTTCGTCGACTTGCTCAAACGGGCACCAGTAACGTCTCCATTTGCCCCTGTCCCATGATAATGTAGTACAGTGGTGTCTGCTCACTCCAGGAACACGAAGAGCATAAAACCATTTGTTCAGGGTTTTGACAAAGAAGTACAACCATCTTGTAGGTGGGCAGTCAGATGTTCTTTTGACGTCCTGTGGAATCCAGTCGGTAACAGCTTTAGTCCAGCGGTTGTCTCCAAATCTCATTATGTGTCTGGCCCATCTGATTTTCGACACCTTGGCAAACGAAGCAGCCTCCCTGATCTTCGATCATCAACGGAGGTCAGAACTCCAGATTCCTTCTCTCACTTGAGTGAAGCATGATACTCCAAGCATAGCTCTTTCGATTCCTCTTTGGGTGATCTGAATACATTCTCATCCTGTTTTCATAGGGCCCCAGTCTCTGAGGCATATGTTAGTGCAGGAATAATGGTGGAGTCAAAAATATGTGCCCAGAGTCAGAGGTTCTTCATCCTCTTAACAACTTCTTTGATGCTCTTGAAGGTGGTGTTCCATGCTGCTCTCTTCCTCCTGCACAGTTCTGACGCCAAGTCGTTCATCATGTTGAGTTGCTGACCCAGGTACACATAGCTGCTGCATTCGGAGATGTTTGTTCCGATGAGAGCAAATGGAACGTCAGAGACTAGTTCGTTTTTCATGAACACTGTCTTGGTGAGATTCAGCTGCAGTCTGACCTTTCCATACTCACGGTTGAAGTCGGCCAGCATTTGTGACGCTTGGCTAATGTTTGGTATTATTAGAACGATGTCATCAGCAAAATAGAAGTGGTGTAGTTGCCGACTGACTATCTCCACTAGATCGTGAAGATGTGTTATATATACACACAATGGAATATTACACAGCTTTAAGGGATGATGAAATCATACAATTCATGGCAACACGGATAAAACTGGAAGACATCATGTTAAATGAAACAAACCAGAAGAAAGATGAACACATGAGGACATCACTTATATGTGGTATTTAGAATAAACTGGATGAGGAAAAGCAATGTTTTAAAGGGTGGGACTCCCTGATCAATTTTGGCCCCAGAGTATAGTGAGGAGAAGGAAAGAAAGTGAAGGGGAGGGGGAGAAGAGACAGGTGAGAAGCAACAGGGGCCAGGTCAGGGGAATAGCATACAAAGGTAGTATTAAGAAATGACAGAGCCAAATATCCAAACCACAGAGACAACTACATTGAAACCAAGAGACAGAGACTTTAAATGAAGTCAGAAAGGAACCGTCAAGAAGGCAGGCTGCGGTTCAGGGAAGGGAGGGAAACTGGGAAGGAACCTGGGAACCCTGGTGGAGGGAAGTTGGCACTCGTGGTGGGACTGGTACTGCAATATTGTATGTCTAAAACCCAACTATGAATAACTTTGTTAATCATGGTGCTTCAATAAAATTTATAAGAAGACAACAGTCATTAAAAGACAAATCCAGCGCCATCTTTACAGCACACGCCAACAGAAGAAAGGCCGCTGGGAGGCTCCACAGCTCTCAGAGAATGCTCCAGGTCCCAAACAGAGCCGAGATCACCGGGAAGTCCCAGATGGGGTAGGTGCTGCAATTCACCTTCTCCAGATGGAACCCCGGTGACCATGAGCCTCTACAAACATAGCTCAGGCATGCGGGAACCAGGATTTTTCCTCCAAACCACACGGCTGCTTACGCTGCCGTGTGACATCTCCCTATATACAAAATGATCAATGGAAAATAAATCATCCAACATTTCTCCCTGAAAATCAGGCTTAACTCTTTTACAAACTACAACACCCAATAGGAGAGAGAACAGAAGGGAATGCCCTGCCACAGAGACAGGGTGGGATGGGGGGGAATGGGGGGTGGGAAGGATACTGGGATCCATGGTGGTGGGAAATGGTCACTGGTGGAGGGATAGGTATTCAAAATTAATTAATTAATTTATTAATTATTTTTAAAAAAGACAAATCCAAATGGAACTACTATACTATATACTTAAAAAAAATGGTAACACGGTAAGTTTTATCTTATATGCTTTTAGAGTGCAACAAAATAGCTACAACAAGCTAACTGAAATTAGTTGATCATAAAAAGACCAATATTATATGATTTCACTTATAGGACCTATGTAGAGTATTCAAAGTCATGGAGACAGAAGGTAGCAGGCTGCAGGGAAAGTGGACTAGAGACTTAAGTGTCAGTGAGCACAGAATTTTGGTTTGGAAAGATGCAAAAAAAAAAAAAAACCAACTTGGGATGGATGGTAATTATGACCGCAAAATCAAGTGAATTCATTTAATACAAAAGTAACTGTCACAGTTTGAAATTAAAAGAAACTTATAGTTGCAAATAACTACAGTAAGAAAGCTATCAAATCAGTAAACAAAGTTTCTGCCTTAAACCAGTGTGTGAACAGAGTCCCACTTGCAGCCTGTGGGGCAATACCAGGGAATCAAACTCATGGCGTCAGGCCCACAAGACCCGTGCTGAAAAGATTCAACTGAGGAAAAATCTTAGGATTGAGTCAGCGGATCATCCACAAAAACAGAGAAAGTGGACAGGGTGCTATTAATAGAAAAACTGACGTTGGGAGCCTGTGCTAGTTAAATATTAAGAAAGTTCTTGTCCTGGGGATGTGTTGTCTAAAGCCTGGTTTATAGAAACCATTGTCTTGGGGTTACAAATTCTAAGAGCTGACTTTCTTGTTTTTCTAGTGGGCTCTTTCCCCGTTCTTGTGGCAGAACATGTTGCTAAGGTGTATCAATATATAACCAAGGAAAATATCATGGAAACTATGTAATTATAGAAAAACATCATTGATGTCTAGAAGCCCAGTACATTCTGAATTTATGTATCCTGAACATTCCTGTATATTTTGCCAATGTATGCTTCCTTTTCTAGAAGCATGGGAAAGACTTTCCATGCATGTTCAATAAAGACGTTGTATAAGGACTGCTTGTCCGGCCCTCCTTAGCCTGTTGCCTTCTCCCTCCGCCTTGGGGACCCGGTTCGACTTTTAGCAGTGCGGGATACAGCAGAGTCAGAAGACAGGTAGGTAAGATCAGAGAAGCTCCGGGGCACCTTCACCAAATGCCAGAGGAGGAGCAGGCGGACTGTGAAGACACTGAAGGCACACGCCTGTGTAATTAGACGATACTGAGAGCAGGGGACTGGTGCATGCTGCCACTTTCCTGAGATCCTTCACTCTGATAAGGAAGAGCAGGTGGACAGTGGGCCGTGGGAATGGCCCCGATGGCAGGAACCAGCATGTCAGGATGCAGCTTCAGATTCCTGCCAGAGAGGAGAACCTCACTTCCTCCCCTCGTTAGGAATGTACACACACACACACACACACACACACACACACACACACACACACACTCCATTTTGTTAAAAGCTCAGCAAAACTCTTTTTAGGTCACTCATCTCTCATCCCGTGGTATGTGGAGAAACAAAAGTTGGTCATATTTTTTAAACTGAAATTCTACAACTTCAGTTGATCTCAAAGATATAGATAAATAGATACATGTCTATACACACACAAATACTCTTTTTTGCTCTACAGAACCCCAAGATTTCACAAGGCAGGTTATACCAATACTTTTATAGCAATCAGTTGCAGAACCAGTTTCATGGTTTAAGTAAAAGACAAGCATGTCATCCTACCTACCGTGCATACTGCGTGAGTAAGATGCTTGCATCCCTGGCGATAATTATTATGGACAGCATCAAGCCTTTAAAATAAATATTAAATTAAAAAAGGAAAAGAGATAAGTGAAAGCTTTTATCTTGTAAAATAGACACTGAAATGTATTCTAAGATCAGGATCATAATACTTACTGTTTTCTATACCATGAAAGGACTCCATGCTCTAATACTACCCAGAATAAGTTCCAGCCAAAAAATCTTGAGCTCTACGGGAAAAAACAACAAAAAGCTGACAGTGTCAGATTCAATATTTAACTAACTAAAAGTGATTAGATTACAGCAATTCCATGTGAATCTTTCATCTAGACCAGAGGTTCCCAAATTTATTTGTCTACCACCCCCTTTTCAAAATTAAAAAAAAAAAATTTCACTGTAAATCTAGATCCTCTAAGCAAACAAAGAGAAAGTACTCCACCCAGGCTGCTACAGCCCAGTACAGAGCAAGTGATTTGTTCCAGTGCCGCCCTTTGGGGCCATTATCACACACTTTAGGAAATACTGATCTAAACCAGTGTTTCTCAACTGAGGGCTAAATGTGCTTCTCTGAGCCCCAGGATATTCCAAGTGAGCCACATGTAAAATTACAAAAATGAGAGGGTACGGCAAGAGCATACGGAGCAACTGGAAGGACTGGGAAGCACAGGATGCTAATGGGTCAGAAGGAGACAGTGGGGGCAGGAGCAGTAGCACAGTGGGTACAGTGTTTGCCTTGCACATGGCCGATCCAGGTTCGATTCCTAGCATCACATATGGTCCCCCGAGTACTGCCAGGAGTAATTCCTGAGTGCATTAGCCATGAGTAACCCCTGTGCATAGATGGGTGTGACACACACACAAAAAGAAGGGGACACTGGACAAGAAAGTTGAGAAAGACTAATCTAGATGGTACTAGTGGATATTTAAAAAAAAATTAACTAACATGAATGTAAGTAGTAGATGCAATGGCAAAATCAAACTACCACAAGGTGATAGGAACAGTGATGAAATGAACATAGTTTATAGTCCTGACCATACTGCTCAAGGATATTTATAGGAAAATGTCTCAACTGTGAGGTCTCAAAGACAACTATCTAAAAGTCCTATATGAATTTTAAAAAGTTCTGTTTATTTTATATAACACAAACACACATAAAGATATAGCAAATGTGTGCAGTTGCAAAAAAAAAAGGAGAAACACATATGCTCAGAAATAGCTAATAATAGCTGGAATAGCTGGAAAATAAAATGTAAAACATTTCAGAACCAAAAAGATTTTCTGTGTTCTCTGATAATTCATAATTTTGAATTCCTCTAGGCTCCCTATGGAAGAATATGTACATAATAAGAAACACTATTTCGATGACTAGGAAAAAAATCTATCCCCCTCCCCCCGCTATTCTATTCAAACACGGTCAGCTAATAGTATTCAATTGACAACACAAAAGCCAGTGAAAGTCTAATGATATCTAGTAATATATGGTTTACATTATAAGATCCAAAAATAACTAAACACATACACTTCAGAAGTTTACAAAAAGGCTCATATGAAACACCAAGAATTCATCCTTCCATTGCTCAATCAAAATACTGTCCCAACCTACCTTCCACAGAGGACCTTCATATCGTTTCAGTGTTTTGTACATTACCTATGAAAAACATACTTTTATTAAAAATGCATCTATATATTTCAATTTTTTTCCTAAAAATTATTTTATAAATGCAACCCACTGCTACATACCTTATGACCAACAAGAATGTGTTTCATTTCAGCACTCTGGGCAAGGTCAAGGGGTTTTTGATCTGTGTAAAACATAAGGAAATATCCATTAATAATTTATTTGTACAAATTGGTGCTTCACACAGCCAGCTCCAGTCAATGCATGGTACTACATATGGTCCCTGAGTACCTAAAGGAGTAATCCCTGAACACTCAGAGAGCCACATGTGACAATCACAGAAATGAAGCGGCATGGCATGAGAGTAGGGAGCCAACTCATAGGTCAGGGGAGTCACAGGAAGGAGAAGGAGACTGAAGAAGATTCAGTGACCCCCAGGTACAGAGTCATGAGTAAGCCCTGAGCACTGCTGGGTATGCCCCCCAAAACAAAACAAAGCACTGGTGCTTCAACTGCAACACAATATTGGGGGTGGCGGGAGGAGGTGCTCCCCAGCAGTGCCTGGTGGCCTGGGAGCCATCCTTGGGAGCAACCACCTTGGCAGTGTGGGCCTAATGCATTTGGTACTCTGGCCCTCTCAATGCTTCTAGTATGCTCACATAATTGTGCAAAGTATATGAGAATTGTTAGAAGGTTATGTGAGGCTTTTTAAATTTGTTGGTTAGTTTTTGGACCATACCCCATGGTGCTCAGTGGCTACTCCTGGCTCAGTGCCTGGGGGTCACTCCTGGTGGTGCTCAAGGGGACCATCTGGTGCTGGGATTAGACCGGCACCTTCTGCATGCAAAGTATGTGCTCAGTCCACTGCACTATTGCTCCAATCCACAGTTCTGTGTTTTCTAGACATCTCAGGGGCTGGGATGCATGTGTTGCTCAGAAAGGAGCCGAGCTCAATGCCAAGCACTGCACGCCCCAACCGAACACACTCAAGTGTGGGCCCCTAAGCACAGCGAGGTACAGTGCTGATGATCTCCAGCACTACTGGGCCTAAGCAGCACATCACTTGGCCTTGGCATAAAGCCTGGGAGGCAGCACGTCACCAGGAATGGCTCCCAGGCCCTGAGAGCACTGCTCGGAAAACACCCTCCAAAAACACAATCATCCAGGGACGGTGAATATTATTGATAATTATTAAGATATGACTATAAAACAATCATATTATTCTAGTTTTGGTTTTGGTTCATTTGGGGGTCACAATAAGTGGTGCTCAGGGTTTATTCCTGGTTCTGTGCTCAGGGATCACCTGGTGGTTCTTGGAGGGCCATATGTGGTGCCAGGGTTAACCCTGGGCCAACCATATGCAAGGCAAGCACCTTACTGCTGTACTATCTCACCCGCCCTTATTCTACTTTTAAACTTTGAAGACTTCCGTAATACATTTAAAACAACTACCAGGGCTGCCCTTTAGAAAAATGGTAGTCTATATAGACAAGAGGAAAAGTAGTTAATTAAGTTGTAAAGCAATAGCAACAGTTAAGGTGGAAGATATTAGTAGGGACTAGAGAGCCAACAGTCAAATGGGGACACAGTAAAGTGTATAAAGAAAAATACATGGGTTTGAAATTTTTCTTTGAGACAAAGTTCCTGGTTTTGGGTCCCTCCTGCACCTCCAAGCACCAGAGATCAAATTCAGGGCTCATACATGCAAGGCATGCATATTGCCACTAAGCTACATGCCTAGGCTTCAAATGTTTTTTCAAAGTAGATTTATACAACTGCTGATGGGAAAGCTGGGGTTGACTGTGTATTATTTCTCTAGTGGGGAAACAAAAATACTTAAAAATATTAACAGTGATAGAGAGAAAGCTTTTCACAAGATTACATCTAATATGTTTAAAACAACACAGGTAGAGGGAAGTAATGTACTTCAATATAGTAAAGGCTATTTACACAGCTAACATTACATTCTATGGTGAAAACATTGAATTTCCCATACGATCAGGCACAAGGCAAAGATGCCTACTTACATCACTATTTTTCAACACAGCACTGGAAATCCTAGTCACAGCAATTGGGCAAGGGGGAAAGATCCAAATTGGAAAAGAGGTAAAATTACTACTATTTGCAGAGGACAGGATAATATAAACCATTTTTTAAGTCTAAAGACTCCACTAAAAAAAAAAAAAACATTAAATCAATATATTTAAATGGAAGGCTACAAAAAATGCAGAAAATCTACTGTTCTATCTCTATATGCAAGCAACAAATCAGAAGACAAAGAAATCAAGAAAGTCATCCAATTCACAAGTGCATCATAAGGAATTAGGTGCTTAGGAACAAAAACCAAAAGCCAACCTTAAAAGAAATTAAAGACAACACAGGAAAAGGAATGGTATCTCATGCTCATGGACCAGAAGAATGAACACTTTTAAAAATCATCATTTTATCCAAAGACATAACCAATTCAGTGAAGACCCAATCAAAATTATAAAGGCCTTCTTGAAGGAAATAGAACAAACATTTCATACAAAATTTGTATGGTAACTCAAAAGACCCCAAATAGTCATAGCAATAGTAAGAGCTCATGGGATAGAATTAAGATCCCAGAATTTAACCTTCACATAGGTGGACTAATTTCCATTTAATGCCAACAGCATAAATTTATATGCCAACAGCATAAATTTATATTTTATGCCAACAGCATAAAATGGAGAAAGGAAATTCTTCAATAAATGCGAGTGGGAAACTAGATAACTGCATTTAAAAGGATGAAATTGGTTCATTATCTCATACCATACACAAAAGTCAACTCAAGATGAATTAAATATTCAGATATTATACCTGAAGTAAAACATGAAGGTTTGTCTCAAACAGTAAGAGAAACCAAACCACAAGTAAACAATGAGATTGCATTTATTAAAATCCTGTGCACAGTTATGGTTTGCAATACAGGTATTAAGAGGTCATCGTGTTTATTCAGGGTATTTGGTATTTTTGTTGGGAAGGTACAGCTGGAGTAGCTTTTTTATTTTTTTTAAACTGCGTGGATCTTTGGGGTGTGAAAATGGCACTATTCAGAGTCATTACTGTTAATGACTTTCATATGTAAATATGAAAGAAAATAATCAGTAAAATAGATCAGAATGGTTGGTTAGAGAAGGCCGTTGTAAGCAGTATAATAATTCTCATTTTAAAATAATTGTGAGGGGCTACAGTGCCACGAGCAGGTCAATCTGTACCTGTGCGGCGAGTGCATCAGCAGCCTGATGGCGCCTTCAGACTTCCAGATACCCCAAAACTGCCTTTGGCCAGACTGTTCCAACAAGACCCCGAGTCACTGCCCATGAACAGTCTTTCTGGCTCCTGATGAAGCTGCTTAATGGCCATGATCTCAGAGAAACAGGAACAAATCTCAGAACCCAGCAAGTTTTGGCAGAAATCCCTCCAGATTTAAGTGTTAAAATTTCAGAATTTCAAAATCGCGTGGCCACTACTGCAGCCACACAACATCATATGTTATTCTTAACCAGCAATCACTGTCACTGTCACTGTCCTCCCATTGTTCATTGATTTGCTCAAGCAGGTCCAGTAACATTGTAAGACTTGTTACTGTGTTTGGCATATCGAATACGCCACAGGGAGCTTGCCAGGCTTTGCCATGCGGGTGAGATACTCTCGGTAGCTTGCCGGGCTCTCCAAGAGGTGTGGAGGAATAGAACTCGGGTCAGGTCATGTTGGCTGTGTGCAAGGCAAATGCCCTACCTGAGTGCTATTGTCCCAGTCCCTTAACTAGTAATAGAAAACAAATTGTCTACTGTTGCCTTTTCAGCAGATCTGAGTGTTGAGGTAAAATCTCAAATAATAATGGTGGGTCTGGTGTCAAAATATTCAATGTGATCAAAGCAGAGAGAGAGTAATGTGGAAATCATCTGCCCCACAGGTAGGGGGAGAGTGTCGGATGGGAGTATACTGAGGTTTTTGGTGGTGGAGAATGGGCACTGGTGAAGGTATGGGTATTACATTGTATGACCGAGACTTAGACTTGAAAGCTTTGTAACTGCTCTCACGGTGATTTAATAAAGAAAATTATAAAAACTAAAAAAAAAAAGTAAGGTGGAGTTCATGCCCAATTCAATCAGGTAATCAGTGGCTGAATAAATAGCAGTACTCCTACATAAATTAAAATAATTGAGAGACTTAAGAGTGTTGAGTCAAGACCAGTGGTGCTCGACTATTCTTGACTCTGGTCTCAGGGGACCATATCTGGTACCTGGAATTATATTTGGGTTGGCAGGGTACAAGGCAAACATCTTACCCCCCATACTCTCTCTAGTCCTTTAAGTGAGAAATTTTTAAGATAAATCTAGAAATATTACCAGTTTAGACCAAAATTATGTAGAAGTCTTTATAGAGGAGAACAAGTATGTAAATAATAATTATCTTACAAGAACCTAATTCTAAAATAGTTAAAGGACTCCATCTTGAAAATGATCACTCCAGACACAAAGTGAATGCTGAAAGGAAGTTAAGTGACATGCATGATACCCTTTCAGTAACAGTACTGCAAACCACAGTGTATAAAAGGAAAATGAGAGGGAGGGAGGGAGGGAGGGAGGGAGGGAAGGAGGGAGGGAGGGAGGAAGGGAGGAAGAAAGTGGCGGGGGGGGGGCAGAGATACAGCACACTTTTGCCTTGCATGTGGCCAACCCAGGTTCAATCCCCGGCATCCTATATGATCCCCCAAGAATGGTCAGAAGTAACTCCTGAGTACAGAGCCAGGAGTAACCCCTGAGCATCGCTGGGTGTAATCCAAAAAGAAAAAAAGGGGGGGAATAAAAGTGTCTGCCATAGAGGCAGACTAGGTGAGGGGAGGACGCAGGCAGGAGGGAAACTGGAGATGCTGGTGGTGGGAAATGTGCACTGGTAAAGGGATGGGTGTTGAAACATCGTATGACTAAGATTATCATGAACAACTCTGTAACTGTATATCTTACACTGACTCAATTAAAAAACATGACTCTACCAAAAATTAAAAAATCCTGTGCACAGTGAAGAAAACTATCATTTGACTTTTACAAATGTGAAAACACACTCACAGATCACAAATCCAACAAATAAATGGAACTCACAAAACAGCCCTCTCAGAAAATAAGGTGAAGATTGAAAGAGGCACTTCACCAAATAAGACATATAGATGGTCAACAGGTTCATGGAAAAAAAACTCAAATTACCATTGATTATCAGATAATGTAAATAAAATCAAAACAATGAGTTACCACTCACACCTGTGAGAATGGCCCACATCAAAAATGTCAAAATCAAATGCTGGCAGGGATGTGGAGAAATACAGTGTGTGGAAATGTAAACTGTTCCAGCTCCTATGTAAAACAGTATGGCTCCTCAAAATATTTTAAGTAAGTATGACTCAGCAATTCCATCTGTGATATTTATCTAAAGGATAAAAAAAATTAACTCAAAAACATATATACACACATATGATCATTGCAGTGCTATTAACAATAGCGAAATTATGGAAATAACCAAGTGCTCAAAGATAGGCAAGTGGATAAAAAAAAATTGTGGTTTTGTGTGTGTGTGTGTGTTTGTGTGTGTGCACACGCACACAACGGAACACTTCTCAACTATAATATTATATCCTACCTACAGTGGTAGACTAGATGGATGGAACTGAATGATGTTGTAATAATAATCACAATAAGTGGGAAGACAAAAGACAAATACCAGGTGATTTCACTCATGTGAAGTATAAAGAAACAAAGGGAGAAACAAGGCCAAACAAAAGCAAGATACTGACCAGAGATCTAAGGTTACCAGGTGAAGGAGCTGCAAGGGTGGAGGGAGGGACCAACAGCTAATGATGAGAGATACAGATACTTGGCTGGTGGGCATGGTTTGGTAGCACACATTTATTTGTAAGTGACATAAAATAGTTCCCCTAAAACAAAGAAAGTCTTATCAGCACACACACACACACATACACACACAGAGTCTCTTTGAGTTTCCTAGCCGGTACACAGGAAGCTAATAAAAAGGTCTGCCAACTGTTATTATTATTCTATCTACAGGAAATTTTTGAAAAATTATCCCTTTAGGCAGAAAAGAGCTGTGACTTTTTTTCCCCATAGAATTCTTTCCGGATGCCAAAAATAAACTCTGAACCTCTGCCAACTAGCTGAAATCCCAGCCCAGAGTCCTGATTTCTAGATTCAATGTATAAAGTGCTTGTTATACAGTAAAAAAGTGGTAGAACACTCTTTGGCGTGAATGAAATAGCCTCTCTACCAGAACAGGAACCTAACTAGTTGTTTCTAATTGCACTACCTCTCTTTTCAACCACAACAAAAATAAAGAAGAGGAATAATCAAAGAGTTCTCTGTACAATGATTTGTCCCTTAATAGGTAAAGGTAAAGGTAAAGGCCCTCCCGTTGATCGTCGATTTGCTCGAGCGGGCCCAGTAACGTCTCCATTGGACGTTATGTGTCTGGCATATTGTCCCTTAATGAGAAAAGTAAATTAATATGCCAACACCCTTTAAATTAATTTACATAGAATGTAATTTTAATTAGATGTTAATGGTATTTTTATAAACCCTTAGAAAATTATATGAAATGCCATCTGGAAGAAAAGGTAAGAAAGAAACCTCCCCCCATCTGCCAGTCTCCTGCCCGCCACCCAAAAGAAGTATAGTAATAGCCAGAAAGATATTTTAGAGGTTAAAGCTCCTGTCTTGCATGGGACAACCAGGGTTTGATCCCAGTACTGCCATGGTTCTGGAAAACTCCAGGGGTCACTCCTGAGCACAGAACTAGGAGGAGTTCCTGAGCACTGCCAGGTGTAGTCCAAAGCCATTCTCTCAAAAGAGAAAGAGAAACTTAACAAATATTAGAACAGAAAGAACTTCACATCCATATAAGATATGTATTCCTTCATGAAAACTGTTTCTAATCAAACCTTCAGCAAACTTACAATATATAGAAAGCATCAGGTGCTACTTATTATTTCAGGTGCTGAGTTAATTAGACAGTAAACTATTAGTCCTCCCTGTAAGAACCCAGTCTCGTTGGAGACAGAGTCAAAAATTACCTAAGCCAAAAATTACCCTGAGGTATGTCTAGGTTACCGGGGAGGTGACCCGGGCCCTGCGGACTCACTGAGAAGCCCCAAACCCGGTGGTAAGGCAAAGAGAAGCATCTGAAAAGTGACACAGTAAGGGTCCTAACAAAAGGTCCCCTGGTTATTCAATTCTGCCTTTGATACTATCATGCATATACCAGAGATACATATTATTAATGGATTCCACGTTTGAAAATTGGCCTGTTCCTAATCATCGTTCATGGTGATTTCCCTATCATTCAGTCACAGGTCTGTCCAGTGGAGTGAAAAATTTCAGTCTTCTGATGCACATGGCATGTTTCCAGCTGAGGACAAAGAAGTCGAGGACAAACAGCTGAGGACAAATTCAGCTGGGCTGTGTCAGATCCCTGCTGCAAACAAGACTCCTTGTCCTGGTCTCCTTCTTGCCACATACCCCAGTTTTCCCTTGGTATTGGCGATTTCGCTGTGGTGAAGCGCTGTCTAGTGTTCCTAAATAAAAGCAGGCTGTGATCAGCCGGGTGGAGCATGTGGAAGATAGCTTGGTTCAGATATGAGTCTGAATTTAATGCTGTCGGTAGTGAACTCAATAGAAATAAAACAATAATATACAGTAAATAAGGTGCATCTAAACATAAAACAAGGTTTTGAATTGGTTAGTTAATAAAAATGCTGAATTGGCTCATAGGAACCTAATACTATATTTCCAGTAGAAGAACTGACCTGGTACTGACTAATTAAGTGGACACCATGGCTTTATCCAATTTATCTAACATAAAAAAAATGGGACTGAGGTCGGGTTAAGAGATATACAGCAGGTAGGGTGCTTGCCTTGCATGCATCTGACGCAAGTTCAGCCCCTGGCATTCCATATGGTCCCCTGAGCACCAGTAACTTCTTAGCATCATCAGGTGTGGCCCCTCTCAAAATGGGGGCCAGGAGGTAGTACAGCAAATAAAGTGCTTGCTTGGCACGTAGCTATCCTGGTTAAATCCCCAAGACCATATGATCCCCTCAAGCACTGCCACAAATGATACCTTACCACAGAGTCAGGAGTAAGCTCTGACTTACAAAACAACAACAATTAACTGGCCCAATCTTTTCCTTGAAGATGGGAATCTTATCACTGGTGCCTGCTATGGAGCAGGGATTATTAAACTTTTAAGTTATAAACAGGAAGCAAATCAGTAAGATTATTTTTTGATGCTGGATATCTAAAACCTAAACATAAATAACTTTGTAACTTGTAATTCATAGTGTTTAAATTTTTAAAAAAGATTATTTTGAGTGTGTGAATGCTTTGACTATGAAAGTAGAGATCACACAATATAGTAAAGCCTGGTTACTAAAACAAAACACTTGATTTTATATGACATTAACTTTCAGAGCTTCCAACTGGCCAACAATGGCTTTTACCGATATACTTACCATTTTTGTTTTTTAGATTGGGGTCTGCTCCACTTTTTAGAAGTTTAAGGGCACATTGCTTATGAGCTCGGTAAGCTGCACAGTGAAGTGGTGTATTACCTAACTGATCTGAACAGTTGACATCAGGAGGATTAGGTCTGTTGAGCTAAATTTAGAAATGTAACATTAGACACCAAAGATACACTTTCTCCCATAAAACACATGCATGTATAATGCAATGTTCACACACTCAAAATACAGAGACTTATGGCCAGTTGGGTGCCTTGGCATCTAGACAGTGGCTTTTTGCTCACGAAAATCTGCCAATTCATGCCAATTCAATTACTCACATGCTCAGTCTTCAAGGCACCACAAAAATCTCAGGTCCCACACACATATGACAGATCGCATATTATACCACACATATATGTAGTAGTTAACTCACCCACCTCTGGACACTGATATCACTATGATTTGCTCATTTTTACCAGTCTTGCATTTTATACTTGTGATACCAAAATTATATAACAATCTAATTCAGTTACTTAAAAGAGTTAAAATTATAAATATTAAAAGTTATATAAAATTTACTGCTTCCAACTAATTACTTTAAAAACCTATTTTATAATCCCCACTTCTCAAAGTATCCAAAACAGTTTAGGCACTATCTGAAAATCAAAAAATCCTTTTCAGATTAGCTGAAATAACTTTAAAGTACTGAGTGATAATGCATCAGTCTTGGATTTAGAACTAATTGACAGTTCCATGTCTAATAAGACAATATAGGAAATGAAAACAGGAAAAAAGTGGATAGGACATTCAGATCATTCAAACATAAATATTCCAAAATATTGTTCCTTCTTAAAATGCTACTTTCTAGAGATATACAAATACCTTTTAGAAATCGTTACCGTCAAAATTTAAAAAATGCATTCCCTTATAAGATCCTATATGTTTCAAAAAAAATCCTATATGTTTCAACCTTAAATTATCTTGATCTGAAAAATATCTGCCCCTACCTGCCTCAAAAGATAATTCTTATCCTACAGGTTCTCAGCAGGGGGTGAAGATATAAATCAGAAATCTGAAGAAAAACATGTAAAACGTATCCTACTTTGTCTATTTATAAACATCATTATTATGTTCACCTGTTTCGTCCCACAATTCAACTATGTGATGAATTTAACATTAAGTATTTTCCTGAAGTTCAAGAAAAGAAAAAAATGCACGTGTTCATAATTTTGTTTTGTTTTTACCAGAGCTATGAGTTCTGCTGCTTTGCCTTCTCTTGCTGCTGCTAAAAGGAGTTCTTCAAGCTTTCTTTGTTGAGTCCTTTCTACAGCTGCCAAAATAATAATAATTAATAATAATAATAATAATGATAATAATATTACTATACTCTTAGTGACAAATCTATTAGCAAATTCACTACAGAGGAAGAATGAAGAATAAAGTAAGTGATCAAAGGGAGGAATGTAACAATGATTTGAATTGAGACTCATACATAGTTAGACTTTACTCTTATTTTCACTATCTTACATTACACATACAGTTTCCATCTTCTTTCAGGTTCAGATAACTCCCACGCTACCCTACCCCACCAGGGTCTGAGGATCAAGCCCAGTGCTTCACATAAACATGGGAGGTGCTCCACCCTGTATTCACATCCTAGACCCTTGAACCTGTGCTTTTTTAAAATTTTTTATATATTTATATATATTTTTTTGCTTTTTGGGTCACACCCAGCAGTGCACAGGGGTTACTCCTGGCTCTGCACTCAGGAGTTACTCCTGGTGGTGCTCAGGGGACCATATGGGATGTTGGGAATCAAACCTGGGTCGGCCGCATGCAAGGCAAACACGCTACCTGCTGTTCTATCACTCCAGCCCCCTGAACCTATGCTTTTAACCAAGCTTTCTTTATCCTTCTCATACAGCTCCCATCAGTAATAATTATAAATTAACTTTCCATACTGAAATACATTATATATCTCCCTTAGAAAAATTAGGAGAAATGTTTATAACTTTAAGAACTTTAGAGTATTAAAATTAATAAGAAATAGCACTGAAAAAATGTACAAACCATATATTTAGATTGACATATTTTCATGTCAAAATATTTTCATATATTTAGACTGACATAGTTCCATGCAATATATTCAATTTTATTTATCAAATACCATAGCACTATTATGTCAAGTATATTCAAAGCACTTTATTTATTTTTGGCTTTTTGGGTCACACACAGTGATGCTGAGAGGTTACTCCTGGCTTTGAACTCAGGAATTACTCCTTGTGGTGCTCGAGGGGCCATACAGGTTGCTGGGGATCAAAAATGATTGGCTGCACATAAGGCAAACACCCTACCCACTGTAATGTCTCTCTAGCCCCTCAAAGCATTTAAAAATATTAACTCAGTATATACTATTCTACAAAATAGATTGTATTATTACAGTTAACTCTCTGATGTCATTTTTGTCTTCTTTCCTCTTAACTTTGAGCACCTGTTTTGTTTCTTCTTAACTTTGAGCACCTGTTTTATTTCTTGTATGTGTGCTTTTTTATTTTGGAGTCACATTCACCAGCACTCAGGGATCTACACTAAGCGATCGATCACTCCTGGTGGGCAAGGGGGACCATATGGGATGCCAGGGATTGAACGCAAGTTGGCCATGTGCAAGGAAAATGCCCTACCCGCTGTAATTACTCTGGTCCTTTAATACAATTAAAAAATTGTATTTTTTACTTCAGCTAATCTCCTCTTTCATTTTGACTTTTCTCAAACCTCCTCTCATACATTTTCATTAAAATTTCTCTTCTAACAATCTCATTCCAGTGAGCATTATTAGTACGATTGCCTTGACATCTTTAGTTGGCCTGGATAACTTAGTCATGAGAGTAGTTCTTTCCAGGCTGCTGTCTTGATTCATCTATGCAAGTGAGTCCCTCTGTCTCCCCATAATATGCAATGCTCCACAGGGTTCTCTGTCCAAGCGGACTAGGTGCAAGCAAGGATTTGAGACACGGAGTACTAAGGGGCACCTACCCACCAATAGCACCAGTAGTTGTGGACCTGGCCATGATTCAATTTCACCAGTGCCCAGCACCCACCCAACTGCCGCGGTCTCACAAACATGTACAGTGCCTAGGAAACCTGAGCTGGGGTGGGTTTAAGAGCAGACTGGGGGCTCAATCCCAGCTGGTAACAGAACACATATTCTAGGACCACCTGGAGCAAAATTGGCTAGCAAGAAACCCCTGCAGGCAGAGAGGCCCCCCAGATAACTGACTATAGCTTCTTTCCATCTATAGCTGCAGCTTGCTGGTCAGAAGTCAGATATGGACTGTCAGAGTCTGCCAAGCAGCACTGCAGGTAACTGTCTATGTGCTTTCAGTTATCTCAGCTATTTGCTAGGGGCAGTTAAATCCCTCCTCTGGCATTTGCCCTCAAAGTCTGCTATTCTGAAAAGTGAGAATCAGTATGACATCCACCTGCATGTGAAGTGAAGCTGCAAGTGGTTACCCCAGTGGTGTCCGCCACTGACACAGGCCCTTTTTCCTAAAGTCTTGCCTTCACTTCAGTGTATAGTCTAGGGTTATGGACTTTGGTGATGCTGTTTGATACACTCTCCACTACTCCTCAAGGAGAGTACACCTTAGAATCCTTTCCCGATTACAGCTTCTAGCCCCACAGTGGACTTTCTTTATTGGTGAGGCCATCTCTTTGTCTCCAGGAAATATGGGTACTGGCCTTTTGTCCCTTTCGATATAAAACTTAGTCAGGATTTTAGATCAGTTTCTGTGTAGATGAAGCCAATTTTGATTTAAATTTGCTATAATGGCAAAGGAGATAAAAAGAAAATTCTCCTTATTTAGCCTCTAACAATAGCGTATAGGTTACTCCATATATTTTATACCTCAAGAAAGTGTCATATTGTTGTGAAGGCCAGACCTGGCATTGCTCAGTCCCAGCAGGGCTTGGGGACCACCAGAACCACACCTTACATTGCTGGAGATAAAATCAAGTGCCCACAATAGTATTTACTCTACACGGGAGCCCTATTTATAGCCCTTACTCTTTAAAGCAGAAAGTCCATCCAAATTAATTCTTTAAATTAACTACAATGAAGGACAGTTTCCTTTATAGTGGGTCACTGAGTGATAATAGATAATATATAAATAATGAAACAAAAAACATGATATGCGACCTAATATGACATCCTAGAAAAGGACACAAATGTTACCTACACAATAATCCCACCAAAAAAGCATACTGAGTCTCACTATAGAGAGCAAATCCACAGTCCTTCTACAAATGCCTTCCCTTCAACAAGGTAATCACCATGAAAAATAAAGACCATTCTAGGTCAAAGTGAATAAAGCAATGTAAAAGGGCAATATGGAATTCTCAATTAGCAGGGAAATGCTACAAAGAATATGGCTTGGGCGACTAGCAAAATCTGAATATAAACAATTATAATACCTTTACCTTTTAAATTTCCTGAATTGACTACTATATTATGATGAGTTCAAAAATATCCTTGTCTAAGTGACACACACTAAGTTATTTAAGATGACAGTCTCAACTTTAATCTACAAATTATTCCTATTAGTTCAGAAAAAAATTTTAAAAACCTAGAGGCTGGAAAAGACAGTACAGAGGTAAGGTAGAGCCTAGAGCAATAGGCAGAGGGGAGGGAGCTTGCCTTGCATGTGGCTGAGCTGGGTTTAATCCCCAGCAAATGGACATGTCCCCCGAGCACCACAAGGAGGGATCCCTGAGCACAAAGCCAGGAGTAAGGCCTGAGCATTACTGGATATGACATTTACAAAAGTGTTTACCCTGATTTAATCCTGAGCATTGCATATGGTCCCCCCAGCACCACTAGGAGCTACTCTGAAGTACAGAGTAGCCCCTCGGGTGTTCCTGGAAGTAAGGACCAAGGGACAGCCTGTGGTAGAGTTCCTACCTTGCAAGCATAAGGTTGGAGAGCCTGTGAATTTGACCCCTGACGGGACCCACATGCCCAAGGGCAATGCCAGCAATTCTGCTATTTGGGATCCCCAGCACCACAAAGGAGAATGTTCTCTCCAGTGCAAGCTGGCCGAGTGTGTGAGAACACGGCAACTGATGGCTGTGGCTCCCTAGCAAGCACCACAACTACTTGTGTGTGGATGAAGTAAGAGTGTCACCCTCAGTCATCACAGAAACAACAACTCCCATCCCATCCCCCCATCATAAGAAAGGGGGTAAATTCAATGTAAACAACGTCAATTAATTATTCACTCGTTTCCATTATGACCATCAAGCTCTTTCTGGGGTGAAACATTTCCTATCTCTGTGCACTACCTTCTGGTATAGATTCTGGTCTATCTGTGAATTTACTGAGTTGCTGAGTGCACTTCCTGAAATCTGCCCCACTTAACATTCGAGCCACAAATCATATTTTTTCTAAGGTGATGTGATCTCATCAAACATAATTCCTCAATAAAATTTCTATTTTACAGACTAGGAACCTAGTCTGATAAATCACATAATTTATCAGATTAAATCACAAGCTCTCATGTTTAGAGCAGTTTGGCTTAGGGTAGCCTCAGAACTGCCTTCATAACTGGCCCCATAAAATGCCAACTTATTAGTCTAAACTGAATGCTTTCCTCTCGGTCCCGAGAACCTTGATTCTGGATCCTCACCTTGTTACAATTAAAGTGAAAAGACAAAATCAAAGAGAATCCTGGCCTCCCAATTAAATCATTACTTGATGCTATGAATCATATCTAATAAAGCATCTTCCCAATCACATCTAATAAGCAATCCTCCAAATAACAATACAGAGTCTTATAAATGTTATAAATGTTATGTATTGATATGCTTATTCATTCACAATGAATCCTCTCATTTTCAATGAACCTGAGAAGCAGAAGGCAGGAGTAATGGTACAGCAGGTAAAGTGCTTGCCTTGAACATTGCTGATCCCGGTTCAACTACTGGTACTATATGTGGATTACCAGGAGTAATCCCTGAGTGCAGAGCCAGGAGTACTATCAGGTGTGGTAAAACAAAACAAAACAATAATAGCATCCCTAAGTCTATCTCCATTGCAGATTCCATTAAAAATGGGGGATTCATAAAAATAAAGGTAAATAATTGAATCTAATAAGCAGAGATGGTAAGTATCTAATCATAAGACCTTATATTTTGTACAAGAAAATAAATGAGATTTTATTTCTCAAGGTCAACTGCAAAGTAATGAAAGTTTGGACCTTGGTTTTGAAATAAAAATAGTAATGATAAAAATTAAGTTGTTAGCACCCTTTACCAAATTATCTTGCTGTCCCCTGAATTACAAAAGAAAAATACAAGATATTGGTGAAAATAAAATTAGAATCCATTATTTTATGTATAATGAGATCATTAGAAATCTTCCTTAACGCAGAAATATGACCAAAAACAATTACAGTAAATCCCTGGTAAGCTGGAAGAGAATTTTATACATCAGAGTTTCACAATGTAAGCATCAAAATATTTGCTTCAAACTATTTTAGAGGAATTTTCCTGAGTGATTACAGAAACAAGTATTCTTTTTTTTTAAATCTGTTTTTTATTTTACTTTAGGTAACATGATCGGAACAGTTTTTGGTTTTGATGTACAAAGTTACAGCACCTTCATTACTACCCAAGTGCCCAAGCCCTTCACTACCATCATATGGCTTCTTAAAAGCAATTTAATACTCAAAGCTGCTAACCGACACTGCTGCAGCAGGAAATTGCTGCCGACTACTATGGCACAACAGGAGAACAGTGTCAATCACTTTGAATAGCTGTGCCTTACAGCTTCTGTCCCGCTTGTCTGTATTCTTATTCTCCCATTATCATGCTCCTGCAGCCAACTGAGGAATTGACAAAAACTGATTTTTAAGACTTTCCAGAAGGCCATATAAAGAACTTAAAAGCTGTGAGAAAACTCTCATATAATTTATTGTCTAATAACTGACTCTCAAATTACATTCTCTTTAGAGCACAGGCCTGCTTTAATCTACTCTGACATTTTAAAAGTCGTTTCTCCTTACATTTTGGGATTCCCATACTGTTACTGTTAAGATCCATAAACTTTACCTTTAAGCATGTTTCTGATTTCTTTATCATGAGTGACTTCTTTTGCTGTCTGTCCATTCCCATTAACAATGGTAGTATCAGCATTATACTCTAAAAGAAGCATAACCAACTCCTGAAAAAGCAAAGAAATTATTTTTGGCTATTATTTAAACTTCAGATTATTTCTATTTTACCAATTACTCATGTTTCTAAGTAGAAAAAAATGTATTACGTAGGAGTCTTTAGACAGGTCACCATGCCTCCTACTGAATAAGGATATTTTGCCTTGGGCAGGTTTTGTGATTAAATGGTAGAACACATCTCACATATGTGAATTTCTGAGTTCTAGCCCTGGCTACCCAAAAATGAAAAAAAATGTATATAGGTATACGTTGCTTAAAATATTTCTGATATAGTCGATTAAAGCACTACTAAGAAGAGTATAAGCACTGAGCATCATAGTTTTCCACATTAAAAAGATGGGTGACACACAGGACATTAGGCATTTGCTCACCACATAGCTGACCCTGAGTCAAGCCCCAGAGGGAACAATCCCTAAGCACAGGGCCAGAAGGAAGCCCAGAGCACTGCCAAGTGGGGCTCCCAAACCAGAAAACAAAAAAACAAAACGGGCAATTATCTTGGGTGGGCAGGACATAAAACGGATGCTGGTAAACCCCAGGGTGACTTCTGAGAAGCAGAGAGAAGAGAGATGGCCGCATTCCCCTGATCCACCTCTGCCACCCCGGGACTTCCTGGGAAAAGTCGGACTGATAAAGTCTGTGATGGGCCCCTGCACAGCACGAACCTCAAGCCCCACGAGCCCCATTGAGTAACCGTCAAGCCACACTTGTTCTGGGAGACATGGGAGTTAATGCCCACCACCCTCTCTCTCTGGGAGCTGTGGACTCATGCTGGAGTGAGGAATTCCTCTTTGCAGGAAAAGAAAGTCAGCCCCAGGCCTTACCAGGCCTTTTGGGCCCTTGCCTTCTTATAGAAAAGAATTTCAGGAGTAGATGAGCAGTGATTTACTTGGAGGTTTTTTGAGCGTGGAGAGGGAGGAAGAGAAGAAAGAGAAAGTGTGTGTGTGTGTGTGTGTGTGTGTGTGTGTGTGTGTGTGAGAGAGAGAGAGAGAGAGAGAGAGAGGGAGAGAGGGAGGGAGGGAGAGGGAGACGGAGCGGGAGAGGTAGGAGGGGGGGAAGAGGGAGGGGGAGGGAGGCCCAGGAGAACATGGGCTTCTCCAAAGGTGGAAAGAGCCCCTGCAAACATCCCTGTATTCAAATACAGTAGTACACCTCTCAAGAGGGGTGATGCAGGCGACCCATGTGCTTGGGTACCACATGTGCATAGCCCCAGCACGTGGACACAAGCAGTACACAGGCTAGGGCAGCATATGAATATGATTCCTTTGCTCCAGGTGGCTTTTATAGGGTTTCTCCCAAGCTGTCCCTCGTGGGGCTTTCTACCCACCCATTGCTAGGGTCAGTGCCAAGGGCGTAGAGCTGGGATTCATGGATGGTTTTTCTTTGAAATCCCTTTCTCGACCTTTGTTCCTGCTGGAGCTTCTCTCAGAGCCAGGGAGGGGGGAAGGGGTGTCCAGCCTTCTCTGGTCTGTGCTGGCCCCAGCTAAAGGTCTTATCAGACCTTAGTTCAGTGTGGGAGGCACTGATGGCCCACAAAGTGGGTCCTGACAGCCTAGGACTAGTAGGTTATTATTTCCTGTGAATTCATTGTCGTGAGGGGAAGGCCCTTGGGATGGGGGGAGAGGGGGCTTCTCTATCTAATTGCCAGTGAGTCCTTAGAAGAGAAGGAACTCTCTTTGGCAAAAAGATGGTGAGAAGCTATGGAGGACACCAGGCAGCTAAGATCTGAAGTGGTCTGTAAAACCTGGGAGAAATCCCCAGTTAGCAGATAATCAAAACTCAGGAATTTTTTCTGCACTGCATTATCCAACAAGTAGATGTGTTTTCAAAAGAACTCTGAAATAACCCCCCCTCCCAAGAAAAGAACTCTGAAACCCAACTTATAATTAAATCTCAAAAAAGATTAACTAGCTGCAAAATTTTCTCAGACCCTAGGTCCCACCTGAGAACCCAGGGCAACCTCAGGAGGCGGGCAGGCTGTCTCTGCCTTACCAAAGCCCAGAAAGCCACACTCACAGCCCAATAGCTGCCGCCACAACTTGGGCTAGCCCAACTGCCCAGTTAAATATTCTGGGTTTTCTGGAGCCCCTGGCCGCAAACATCTCCAAAACTCTACAATATTAACATCTCGGAAGGAGCACAAAGACTCAATGGGAATCTAACATAGAAGCCAACTAATCTTGACTAACAAAAACAATGACACTGAAGGATTAACTAGCAACTACAGCTTAGTAAAACCTCAGATAAGGGCATAATGTCCTCATGGTGAGATACAACGATTTTCATGCATTTTCTTTTATTGGAATACTTCTGACCTTGCCATTAGCCATTGAGTGGTAACAAGCAAAATAAAGATTAATATTGTGGGCCTGCTATGGGGGCAGGTTTGTGGGGTCATTGAGAAAATCCTGGAGGAAAGGTGACAGTGGGGGTGGGACTGGTGTTGGAATACTGAACACCTGTAGCAAACCATGACAAAGAGCTCTGTAAACCATGGGTTTAAATGAAGTGGGGGGTAAGGGGAGGATAACTCTATAATTCAGAAGAGATTAGAGTCAAGATAAACCCCAGAAGTCAGTGTGGGAGGCCCTGCCGGTCTTTCCACCAGCTTCCAAACGTCATAGTGCCAGGCCAGAGCACTGACTGTCCAATCCAGATAGCCTCCAAATACCTGAGCGTAGAGAGGATAGCCCCCATTTACTTAACTAAAAAATAAATGAGAATAACAATTAGGTTACAGTCTTACATTCTGGGTCAGTGATCAGAACAGACCCAGATTTCTCAACACTAGAGCTGGCAAACAGTGACACAAATTGCAACTTAAACACAACAGCATTTTCAGATAGACAGAAAAATTTTCAAGTTTGATTTCCCATGTAAACTTTCTCAAAATACAATAAACAACACAACTTCCTAAAGGCTGTGCCTACCCAATGATAGAGAAAACAAGACATGCAATCCAAGAAACAAAAATCCAATAAGAAAATGGTTAAAGACACACAGCAATTAGGGCACATGCCTAGGCAAACCTGAGTTTAATCCCATCACACAATGCTCTCCAGGCATTGTGGGTGCAGCCCCAGAGATGCCATGCACTGCCAGGATGATCCAAGAAATTCCTGACCCCTCAGGGCCTAACAGTCACCACATCCTAGGGCCCTAGCACCAACCTCTAGCTAAGTAGCACAGGAAGGGGCTGCAGGAACTTCTAAGTCAAACTTAGGAGGAGCCCTACATAAAACCACAGAAAATAAGGGAAATTCACAGTGTGAATGAGAAGCAAAGCTAACAACAAAGGACAACAACATCTGGAAGCTCTAGCAGACTTTCCTAACCACAAATGATCTACTGACCCCTTTCAGAAAACAATTATTCAGTACCCCTCTAAAAACCTACCTATTTAAATAAATGGAATATGCCTGCAGTGGCACCTGAAGCTACTTCCACCCCTCAGGGCATACCAGCAGCCCAATCAGCATAGTATGGCCTTCTGGGAAACACTGTTCGAGAGAGCAAGCAGGTCAGGATGTAGGATCAGGAGCCTTCCTCAAAAGGGATCACTCTGTGATGCACAGAGACTTGTTCAGACAGCACAAGAGGGCAGTGGCAGAATACAAGCTTCAACATGGGTGAGACCTGAGTTTGATCCCTCTCAACACACACACACACACACACACACACACACACACACACACACACACACCAGCACAAGAAAGGCCAGTATAATATTAACCCAATACCTACAAAAGCAAAATATAGCCATGGTTGAAAACATGAGAAATGAAAGTGGTTCTGGCTGAGTTGAAGCAGGAAAAAAACAGAAATCCAGAGGTAAGAAACTAGAAAAGCTAGAGGGAAAGAACTTCAAACTGTACTACAAAGCAGTATCAATTAAAACAGCTTGGTATTGGAATAAAGACAGACCTGCAGACCAATGGAATAAGAGTTGAATATCCTGGCATAGACCCTAAAATATATAATCATCTAATCTTTGATAAGTGTGCAAGAAATATGAAGTGGAGCAAGGGAAGCCTCTTTAACAAGCGGTGCTGGGAAAACTGGACAGCTGCATGTAAAAAAAAATGGGGTGCTGGTATGCTCTACCTAATGCCATGCACAAAAGTCAGATAAAAATAGATTAAAGACCTCAACAACAGACCTGAATCCATAAGGTGTATGCAGGAAAGCAGAGCCAAAACCCTTCGTGACACTGGAACCAAGGCATCTTCAAAGATGAAACATCTCTGACTAAGCAAGTGGAATAAAATATTAACAAATAGGACTACATTATACTAAGAAGCTTCTGCACCTCAAAAGAAACAGTGACTGCTTCCTGCCCCCCTGAGACCACAAGTTGCCCCCCATGGCCTCTCCTGCATGCAAGGCCATGCCCCAGAGGCACACAAACCAATCTCAGAACGATGCGGCTTTTGGCAGAAATCCCTCCAGATTTAATTAGTATAATATCAGAAATCGCAATAGCGGCCGCACAATATCATATGGTCTTCATAACCAGCAATAGCACTGTGGCACTGTCCTCCTGTTGTTCATGCATTTGCTTGAGTGGGCCCAGTAACGTCTCCATTGTGAGACTTCTTGTTACTGTGTTTGGCATATGGGATATGTCACGGGTAACTTGCGAGGCTTTGCCATGCAGGCAAGATACTCTTGGTAGCTTGCCGGGCTCTCCGAGAGGGACGGATGAATCGAACCTGGGTCGGCCAGGCCAGCCGCGTGCAAGGCAAATGCCCTACCACTGTGCTATTGCTCCAGCCCAACCAGCAATAGAAAACAAATCATTTCACGATGCCTTTTTAGCAGATCTGATTGTTGAAGTAAAATTCCAAATAATAATCGTGCATCTCTGGGGCTGGAGCAATAGCACAGTGGGTAGGGCATTTGCCTTGCACACAGAAAACGCGGGTTCGATTCCCAGCATCCCAAATGGTCTCCTGAACACTGCCAGGGGTAATTCCTGTGCATCGCCGGG